GTGATTAGCCAGAGAGTAATGCACAGAATTCATAAAAAATGATTGATTTGATTATTAAGTTGATAGAAAATAATATGTTACTAATACTCAATTTAAACATAAGTAATTTTCTAATAAAATTGAATTACCAATTACAATATTTGTTTGACATTTAATTTAATATTTATAGTTTATAAACTTATAGTTATGTTTTTAAAAACATTTATGATATGTCCTCAATGGACTTTGTAATTTTATTATCATTGAATGTAACAACGATTACATTTGTGAACAAAAATAGCTAATCATAGCATTATATTAAATCATGATGTTTTTACTAGATTTAAACAAACATATTAGTAATACTTAAAAATAAATTCAAGATACAAATTTAAAACACACACAAAAATATATATATATTCAATCACTAAATAGATTTTGAAGCAAATAAATATTATAATTGTTAATATGTGTTAAAATTTAAATACAATGAAACCACACATTTCATTGCCGTTTATGGGTTTCGTGTTAGTCTATGTCTGCACGACCAGCGCCGGTAGTGGTACCCTATGGGCGGCCATCATGAAAGCAACGCCAATCCTATGGCTAACCTATTGCGTACAACGCTATATAAGAGATTTTAAAGTACTAGATGACAATACCAATCATCGATTAATCTATGCCAAGCAAATTTATAAAGGTCTTAGAATAGCCCTGATTGGCGACCTGTGTCTTGTTTGGCCGCAGTCAACAATAATGCTGTGTTTGGCACTCATTAGCTACTGTTTTATGTACAACTGGTACGGGAAAGCTGTCGGTTGTTTCACGAGTGAACGCAAAACACCGTTTGGTCTAATGTTCTCACTTCCATTCGCAACCATTAAGTCACTTGTTTTATATAACTATTTAACAGGTACTGTATGTATTGTATCATTATTTATACTTGCATTCTTATTTACAATTTACGATCGATATGAGAAGTTTATAAATGTTACCATATATTAATTTTCCTTACTTGTTAATTGTTGTAAATTTATAATCACAGCAAACAGAGGTCACTACAATTCATATTTAGTATTTTTTAGTATTTTATAAGAATTTATACAATATACTTTTAAAAATCATATAGCATTTATCAACTCACTTTAATTTTTACAAATAAATATACCACAATTATTGTTACAATAAAAATAATGGATATATTTACTAAGATATTTTTATTAAATTTTCATCTAGGTATATTTGTCTACATCGTGCCAATCTATGTAGTTTTTATCGGAATAATGTTTTGGCGCTCAATTATTCTTGCTTATGAGATGCCATCACAACTATCCTTTTACTCACTATCGAGTGCTATATTGTTTATGATATCCAATACGATCTTGGTCATTGAACTATATCTATATTCATATTTTAATTGGTTTTCGGTTTATATATTCCGCTATTTAGTGTTAACGTTGTATTTTTGTTCACAATTATTGCTCGTATTGTCGATTACCACCAGTCATACTATTATACCTGTAACAAGTGTTTCTCCTAAACTATTACTTTCCGACAATAAACAAGATGAAAATATTACTAATACTGATAATGTTAAAAATAATGTTTTATTTATATTTTCCTTGATGAATAAAGTATTCAAATTTGTAGGTTTTATAATTAGACAGATTAATTCAGTAAGAGGAAAATGAATTAAACATTATTTATACTGTAATTTATATTGTTATTTACACTTGATATATTATAATTTAAATTATTAATTACTTTAAATTAAATATTATATATTTATAAATATCTGTTATATATTAATATTACTTCGAAATGAAATTTTGATATAATAATGATTTATAATTGGAATAAAATGTGGCATATATTATGTAACATTGATTTTATATTTAATTCATTATAACACAAATATTAATATATGAATCAGTCACTTGATATGTAAAGTTTCCAAACGTTTTGCACAATTATGGATAATAAATGTGCAAATTAAATATAATATTTTTAAAAATTTATATACTGTATTATGATAAAATATTTAAATATTGTAACTTTCAATTTTGGTATAAAGTGGTAAAAATATACAGGTCACATTTCTAACAATATATACTATTTTACATTTACAGTAAATAAATATTTTTTGGGCATAATAAAATTTACTGAAAGTGTTTATAACTTGTATGAAAAATTAAAATTGGCCGACATATAACTTTATGTTTTGATTAAACAAACACACAATAAACAAATAATTAAACATGTCCATTATGATAAACTTTATTTTAATATATAAATTGTATGGGTTTTGTGATTAATGTGCTCAAGATATTAATATTTGATATATTCTTGTTGGTTAAAACTTTGTCCGACTAATGCCAGTGCAATATCCTGTCGACTGCTGGAGGTTTGGGTGTCGTTGCCGTTGTCATCGCCAAAAATGTTGGGCGCAAACACACAACTGTTTTGTCTATAAAAACTTCGGGATAGCATACGTAGTAATGCCTGTAATTAATAAATTAACATAATTAAAATTTCATATAGGTAACTATTAAATTATAAATTATGTTTAACAAGTTTAATATATCATAATACATGTAGTAATATTAATTTGTTCTATAATGTGTTATTTTATATTTTACTAAGTTAATATGATATTTAAGTAAACAACATGATTGTACTACAACAGGTAACTTGTTGACAGATAGCAAGGTAATTTAAATCTAATGAACGAACATGGTAGACTTACTTCTCGGAATTTAGTGTGCATAAAACAGTATATATAACAGTTAAAACATGAACAATATGCCAATAGGTGTGTTACCGATACACCTGTAGCGCCCACGTAGTGGTATAACTGGACAATAAGACAAATAAAGAGACATTAATTTAATTAATTCAATGTTCTGAAAATAATTTAACGCTATTTAAAGACTCGTGTCGATATAAATAGGGTTAAAATTTATCTAATGAATAACACTATTAGTTTATGCTTTAGAGTGTGATAATGCGTTAACAAATATTTTAATTTTATTTGTTGTGTAAACTTAATAAACGTTTGAAGTACTGAATTTTATAATGATGATGGTTTGTTTGTTCGTATAAACATTTATCTGTTGTTAAACGCAAATGCTTTTATATTAAAACTTATATAAAGCCTTTAGATAAAGCCTATATTTTATATAGACATTATAAAGTAAATGTTTGAACGTTTTGATTTCTATTATAAGTTATTGGGTTAAAAATAATGATCATGCACAGGACTTCTCAACAGGTAGCTTTATCTCTATGCTCTCATAGACAATACATTATATTGTATGAATTTTTTGGGTAAATCTAAATGGGAAAATTACACATTGTAAATTGATGGTGTTTAGAAGTCTACTTATTTTTCATTATTTATATTAAATATATGACAGGTATAAAGGGTTATCAGTTTATCAATAGCTATATTGAGACTCTATGTTTTGACAGCAATGGTTGCAACAAAGTATAAAAGTTAATTATCTTTCTAATGGTTTCCATCAAATTGTGTAATTAGAAACTATCTATAAGTCAGTCAAACGTAAACTCCTGTTAGAGTTTTGATAAATGATACTTATAATTGAGAGAGAGAGAGAGAGAGAGAGAGAGAGCGAGAGAGCGAGAGAGAGAGAGAGAGAAATAGGGATATACAGTATATGTTTGTTGTAAGAGATTAATTCTTAGAGTTTTAGGAATTGATCTGTCAGTCAGTATTAAATGTTAGCGAATATTGTAAGCTAAATATGCGTTACTTTGTGACACGTTTGTGTTATACAATTTTATACCTTATTGAGAATATTATATATACAGTAAATTATTTAGATATTTAGATATTCTTACAACAAACTTAACACAACCCAATCTAAATTGAAATTTATTACACTAGTGGCTCATTTTCAATCTCGTCTCTTATGTATATCTATGTAGAAAATATTTGTATTAATATTATTTAAAAATTTGCATGTTGAGAATTCCCAAATGTAAAGTATATTTGCTTAATTATGATGCAATAATATTATGTTGCATAGAATATATTTTTAGAAACATACCTGTTTAGCGTTGAATACACTCCATGTGTTTATTATATATAATGGACCTAAAAATTATTGCAAATTGATTACAAGACATCAATTAATTATTGCAAAAAGTCAGTACTTTTAAAATAATTGATTTAGTAATAAATAACAGAATCACTAAACTTAATGCACTTTTAATAAAATTAGATTTATATTTACTCCAGCAAATGAAGAAGTGTGCGACCAATACAAATAGCATCCTGATGGCATTTTGTCGAGATAATAACCTTGATTGATCCCTTCGGCAATGCCTATAAAAATTGATTTTATATGATTAATTTTATTATAATAATTATAGCATTTTTACATTCAAATAATAGCACGTAAGAATTTTGACTAATTCTATATTTATTTGATGTTGCATTTTATTTTACATTATTTTATTATATTTTTATAATAACATGTACATTATGGTTGACATTTATGATCGCAAAAATGTCTATTATAAGATGGTATTATATTTAAACATTTCTATTATAATATTATCATATTCTTGTAAATTAATCATTTAATCTATTGCTTAAATATAATCTCATATTAAATGTTTGCATATTATTGGACAGAAATTTACACTTCACATTAACTAATGGATCCACAAATAATGCATTAATTATTAATAAATACTCAAAAGGATAGCCAAAATATTAAAAGAGAACTTAAGTGCTTTTAATTAAATAGATATCTTATTTTTATACTTATTTATTTAACTCTTTATTTTCTCTCTCTCTCTCTCTCTCTCTCTCTCTCTCTC